ACACACACACATATCTCATCCAGTGCCTGGCGAATCGGTCGGCTCACCTGCCTGCACAGATAAAGAATTGCCCTCCACATCTGCAGAAATGAGCCACAAGTAGCCACATCCAAAGCCCACAGATAGCCACAGATTTTCAGAGTGCCTGGCAAATCTGTCGGCTCACCTGCCTGCACAGATAAAGAATTGCCCTCCACATCTGCAGAAATGAGCCACAAGTAGCCACATCCAAAGCCCACAGATAGCCACAGATTTTCAGAGTTCTAGATAGAAAAATTTGTGTCCGCATCTGTAGCCACAGATACCCGCATCCACATCTGTAGATACCCACATCTATATCTGTAGATACCTGCAAATGTAAAGCGGATATCTGCAAATTTGGAGAGATCTACACATACAAACTTTACCCTGTCTCCTCATGCGTATGGAAATGCTTTTAAGGTTACAACTTGAGCAAGAAAAAGCAGCAGATTAATTTTTAAGTAAAATAGCTACTATTTTCATGAACAATAACAAGTAGAGAGGGAAAAATGATCCCCAAATGTATTAACCCAGAGATGAATTGTTTCAGATTATTTTTCAGTGTTCTATTATGAGACAGTAACTACATTTTATTTGATAGTTTCGGTATGTTTCTCTTGCAGTACAATAGAACTTCAGGCGTACTAACACCAGAGTGGCAAACAGACTGGTTATTGGCCTGCACACCTCATTTGGACCCAGAAGTACACAATCAGGCAGCAAAACAGGAAGAAAAGAAAAAGCAAATACTATATGACTAAGCAAAATGGCAAGCGGTAAGAAGCGCAAACGTGTCACACTTTCAATTGACACAAAACTAGAAATATTAAAAAAACTCGACAGTGGTATTAGTCTTAGCAACATTGCAGTAGAATATGGTATTGGGAAATCAACCATCACCGATATTCGGAAAAGCCAGGAAAAAATAAAGCAATTTGCAAAAGAAGCCAAAGACAATGGAACAGTAAAAAGTAGGTGTATTGTACGCAAAGCTGCCGATGATGCTTTTGACAAAGCCATGCATCTGTGGTTCGCACAAGAGAGATCAAAAGGCACTCCTATAAGTGGTGTGATGGTTACAGAAAAGGCAAAGTTACTCTACCGAGAAATGTACCCAGACAAAGATGAGAACCATTTTAAAGCAAGTACAGGGTGGCTCTGTCGGTTCAAAAATCGTCATGGGATACGGCAGTTAAGGATGCAAGAAGAGTTTTTGACAACTGACTGGAATGCTGCTGGTGTATTTAAAAACATTTTCAAATCGTTTATTGAACAACATGAGCTTACCCGGGACCAAGTTTTTAACTGCAACGAGACAGGCCTGTACTGGCGCCAGCTTCCAAACAAAACTCTGGCAGACAGTTCAGAAGAACACGCGAAGAATTTCAAATCTTATAAAGATCGGGTCACCCTGATGGTTACTGCTAATGCAAGTGGGGATTTCCGTCTCCCATTGGTGTTCATTCACAAAAGTGCAAAACCTCGCTGCTTTGCAAATGTCATTATGTCAGCTCTACCTGTCCATTACTACAGCCAGCGCAATGCTTGGATGGATAAAGGCATTTTCTCCGACTGGTTTTTTAAAAACTTTGTTCCGCTTGTGAAAAACTACCTTACGTCAAAATCGTTACCTATCCGAGCTGTGCTATTGATGGATAATGCTCCATCTCACCCTGCCATTGAAAATCTATTGACGGAAGATGGAAGTATTCGGTGTTTGTTTTTGCCACGGAATGTCACCAGCCTCACTCAGCCAATGGATGGAAGCATTCTGGAAAACATGAAACATCGATACAAGCGAAACCTCTTACGGCGAGTATTACTGGGATCGATGCAATTTGAATCTTACACAGATTTTTGTAAACAGCTGACAATCAAAGATGCTGTCTACATGTGTGCTGAGGCCTGGAGTGAGATTGGCTCTCAGTCTTTGAGATCCTCGTGGAATACACTTTGGCAATGTATTGATAACACTGAACCAGATAAATTGGAAAACAATGACCAGAAGGAAATAAATCAACTGGATTTTTCTGAAGAGCGACAACTTTTGGATATCACCATGGAGGAACTGGAGGACTGGCTAAATGCAGATAAATATGAGAACGGACACCCTATTCTTAGCGACCATGAGATAATTGAATTGGTAAGAGAAACAGCACAACCAGACAGTGACAGTGACAAGGAGGGAGAGACCGCCAAGAGAGTCCCACACATGCAAGCAGAAGAGTGTTTCATGGCTGGAGCCACAGCCTGAAGCCACACCAATGAACCTAATGATGCTTCACAAGCTACGCACCTTGGCAGCAAAAAAGCTTATTAGCAACCTCAAGCAGAATACCGTTAAAGATTTTTTCAAGTGTACATAGTTTATCCTGTAGTACTTAAGCAGGAAAGTTAAGTTTGGATACTATTTTTTTAATTGTCATTATAAAGACTAGTGTTGGTACAGACTTTTAAATTGGTGGGCTTTTATGTTGGCTTTTTTGTGTGTGGATACCTAACACTAAAAAAGAAGCAAGATAAATTACTTAAAATGGAACTATAGTACTGTGTTAAATGTAAACTACTAAAAAAGTGAAAGTTTAAACAAATTGACAAGGTAAGGAAACGGTTTCTGCGTTTGTTTCATGTAAATGGTTAAAAGCATTTTTCTTCTGCAAAGTAAAGTTTTGAAGCTGCATGAAGTCAGTGTTCAGTTGTAAACTTTTGAAAGAACCATAACGTTTTGTTCAGAGTTACAAACATTTCAGAGTTAGGAAAAACTTCCCCAAGGTGGTCCTAGTCTCTGCTGTATTGTACATTGTTTCAAAGGTAACTGTGTTAGTCTGTCTGAGCAAAAACAACAGGAGTCCGGTCGCATCTTAAAAACTAACAATTTTACTGTAGCATAAGTTTAATACTTGTTGTTTATATTTACATTATGAGCTCCCTCTGGTGGCCAAAATTGGCACTTAATTTCCCTGTTACGTATTTATTTTTAATACTTGTTGTTTGTACTGTATTTACATTATGAGCTTCCTCTGGTGGCCAGAATTGGCACTTAACTTCCCTGTTCCATGTTTATTTGACCAACAGTCACTTTGCAGAGCCTGTGGTTAGCATTCTGGCCTGATCCAGCAAAACACTTAAATACATCTTTAGGGATAGACCTATTACCGTCTGTTTTGCAGAACTGAACTCTTGCTGAATGATGAGGGTAACTATTCATGGTAGTAAACATTAGGCTTGGTGTTAAGTGTTTGTGGATGTAGGCCTTAAGCAGGCTAACTTTGATGGAGGAGACTGTGGTTGTAAATCATGTTTTATTAAAATTGTATCTCTTATTGTCAGTGGTTCCCACATCTGTCAGCACCTTAGTTTAATGTCTAATATCTGTTTGGAAAAATCTCTAATTCTGTATTAATTGCCTTGTCAAAAAAGACCTTGGGTGTCAGTGTGATAGAAACAGCAATTTTCTTAAATGCCTTGGGTCAACCTTATTGAATCCATTTAAACCTTATTGAATTAACATACAGTATTTTAGGAGTTCATTGCATTAAAAATGCAAATGTGTATGTATAATTGTGAGATTGTAGAGAATGTCTCCAGGGAGGAAATATGGCCAAAAGGTTACCCTCGGAAGTGGTATGAGCTTGAAAAGAGTCTTTGAGGCAAGGTGCTAGCCAAATAAATGTAAATGGCATTCCTAGGAAATATTTGGGAAGAGGTGAATGCATTGTCTCATCTCTGGACCCACTTTGATGCTGTGCTCTGAGCAAAAGAATAAAGCGGACCTGCGTTGGTGGTTTGATTTTGCTTGGGAATTCACAGTCTAGCAGCCCAGCCCAGAAAGTCCTAGATTTCAGTCCCAAAAACGGGTCTTTGTGGTCATCTAGTGAGAGGTTCTCACAACAGATTTTTTTGGTGGCCTCAGAGTGCAGTCACCATCGCTTGCTGGTGGCTGCTCTGACCCTTTTTCCTAAAATACTTAACTAGCTTTAGGAAAAACAAATAAATATGCACATATACAAATCCAAATCATTGTAATTTCTTTGTATAGAGGATTTTTTGCAGACTCAGTAAAAAAAAAACAGTGGCTAGTAAGTCTCTGTTCTTTACTGGACCTAAACAGAAGAGAAACACAAATAAGATGCTTTGCACATTTGCTTTCATTGTTGCTTTTTAAGACTTTCTAGCTCAGTGAGGGGCAACCTAGGCTAGTGAGCAGGCCGCATGAGTGGCCTCCTTCATTGCAAGATGGACTCCCAGGACAAGTTAGTTTTGCTAACTGCACTTGCATACCTAGAATTTGTGGGGTGTATCAATTGCATTGAAACAAAGCACTACTAAGGTTCAGAGTGTGTGTGGCTCTCACAGTCGTTGTGAGCATGCACCTCACTTCACATGCCCTTTCTTTAAGTGTGTGTCACTTTAGTAATAGTAGTAGGGGAAAAACTATGCAGACTAAAACCATAAGAATCTGGCAACCCTGCACATGGGCAAGGGGAAACAAAGTGTCTCATGGATCACACTTAGAATCCCCATGGGCTACATGTTACTGTGCTAGCTAATAAGTCTGCTGCCGCGAAAAGTGATATTTATTAAGGATAGAAAGGTTAACCAGTAAGTCTAACCTTTAACAAGGTGAAGCTAACCAGTTCTGGTTAACTGATGGGGGCTGGAGCAGCTCCCCACCTGCTATGGGCAGAGGACTGCTCCAGTCCTACAGGGCTTTCCATGGACACGGGATGTTTCAAGTGTTTGGAGCAGCTCCTGCCTGAAGAACTGGTCTGGCCTGGCTGTAGGGGGGAGGCATCCTCCAGCCCCCTTAATTGGTTAACCAGTTAAATTTCACGTTTAACTGATCAACTATTTAAAAGGGATTTTACATCCCTAATACTTGCATGTTAATATCACTTGTCACAGCCTACCAGCCAGCTAAGTCTTGTAGCCAGTAATTTTACTTGATGGTTCATTTATTATATGATGTTATGATTAACTGATGTCCTATATAATCATTGTATGTTAAATAGAGTTAAGTTGTAGGATCGTAGAAGTATAAGATTGACCAGTAATTAGAAGGGATAATTATGTGTTAGCTAAGTAGGGCTGAAATGCAAAGCCTACAGGCTAAGGCCTGTAAAATTTTAGCTTAGCCATACTAGGCCATAGGCTTCAGAAATACTTGATATAAGTAAGTGACCAAAGAATGACACGGTGCCACGGGATTTCAGGAAAAGATGTACCAATGGGTGATACTGTGAAACAGTAAGAGTAGTGTTTTGCTTACAAAGTACCTGGTTGTCATGGTTTTTGAACATATGCCTTAGCCTAGGGCGCACTATATGCATAAATGGCCTATAATCTAAATCACACTTTGCAAAGAGACGGCCCAGATTAGAAGAACAGCTCCCTGTGAGAAGTTCCTACAGGAGCCATCTTTCTACTGATGATCAGTTGGCAATGCAGCTATCAGGCCTTAAGAATAGCGTTATGGATGTATGACTATGTGTGTAACTTGTGCATAGGTCTGTAAAGAATTTCTACATACTTGGGTAATCCTAACTTCAATAAAACTTGTAAAACAAACCAGACCTTGTACTTGTAAATGTCTGAGTGGTGCTTAGTCAGGGTGTCTCTCCTGGGGATGGAGGGAGCTTGGCAACACAAATCTCTGTCTCACACTCACACTGTGTGCCTGTCATTCTCTCACACACATACTGTCCTTCACTCTCATCTCCCAGCCCAACACATACGTGGAGGGGGCGGGGCCGTTGTTATGTCTTTTACTGCTTGCAAAGTGTGGCATTTGTGGTTTTTGACTGGTCTGTGCATTTCATCATTTTAATTTCTCTCTTACGCTTAAATTTAATTCGTTGAGTTGTGAGTTCTAAAATGCTTGACCTGGCACGGCTGGAGTCTCTCCTCCTGTAGTAATTGCTGCTCCTGGAAGTGGCTGGCATATCCCTGCAGCCCTGGAGAAAGGCAGAGCAGGGGGAAGCATGGCCAGTAGAAGCTGTGGGCTCAGTGGCCGTAGATGAGGGGCAGCCCATGGAGCCACTGTTGTACATGCCAGTTGCTTTCAGGAGTAGTGCAGGGCCAGGGCAGGGGTAAGCTGCCTTAACTCCACTGCTCCATCACCTAGAAGCCATCTCAGTTAAACGGTGCCCAGCCAGAGCCCACTTCCTGAACCCATCCCAGCCCTGAACCTCCTCCTGCATCCAGCCTCCTGCCCCAGACGCGAGTCCCCCTGCACCCAAACTCCTTCCCAGAGCTTGCACCCTGAAACCCCTCCTACTCCCCAATCCCCACCCTGGGCTAAGCCTGGAACCCCCCACACTCCAAACCTCTTAGCCCAAGATCAGAGCCTGCACCCCACCCCCCGTAACCCAGCCTGGTGAAAGTGAGCGAGGATGGGGAAGGAAGGGGGACGGAATGAGCAGGGTGAGGCCTCAGAGGGGGATGGAGCAGGGGCAGGGCCTCAGAGAAGGGGCGGGAAGGAAGTGGGGCCAGGGTAGTTGGGTTTGAGGTAGATCTTACATTGCACTTAAATAGAAAAAGTGATCTGTGGTTAAAAAGGTTGGAGGCCACTGCTCTAGACTAAATATGAACCAGGTAATAGAGGTGACTTTCACCATGTTGAGCTTGAAACCTATGCGGGCTAATCCCTCATTGCAACATTCACTTTAAATAAAATAAATAGGGCTACAGAAAACACAGAACACGTTGATCACCATAGTATTAATTACACCCATAGGGTCTAATGTAGTCTAAGAGCATACAGCAAATTGGACTAGACTAGACATGTATTTAATCCTAAAATGGATTGCACCCCGAAACTGACAGCTACTGTTAAACTCCAAAGCAAAGAGCAGGTGATATAAAGAACAACAGTGGGAATGTTTAATTTTGCACTTACCTGTACACATCCTTCCTGCGATCCAAGCCACCCTTTCTGTGCTCACCTGATCCCAGCTGTGTCCCATCGTGTCCTGAGCAGGGAGGTAGAAATGCATTTAAAAAGGTAACTCTGTAAGTGCTGAGAATCCTAGTGGTTACATGGCTGTGGACTCGGCAGTATAAAGCTTAAATAAGCTTTATATGACAGCACCTGCAATGAAGCCTCAGGAGGGGGGCTGCCAGCCTGTGTAACCTGCTGCAGGGTAGGAGGGAGAGAGACAGATAGCCCCCATGGACAGGGGCTGCTCCAACAGGCCGCATCTGTGGGGCAGGAACGGCCCCCTGCCCATGGCAGGCAGGGAGTTGCTCCAGCCC